AATTAATATATGTAATTATAGTATAGATTGAAAATAAAAAACGTAAACAATATAATAAAAAATATATAAAAGTTGAAGGGTTAAAACTAAAAATATTAATCGTCAAAATTGAAAAATAAAATAAAATAATTATAATATATTTTTAGGGTTTTAAGTAGGTGGGGGTATAGAAATTCTAGAGTGAAATGAATAGCAGGGGGTGGGGATAGAAAACCCCTTCATGAAATAAATAAAGTTATTCATTAAATATTATAAAATAATTCAACATCGTACGTCAATTTACCAGCCATTTTATATTAATATCCGTATTAAAAACTCTTAAAAATATTTTTTGTGCTTGAAATACTGTTTATTATGTATATTATTTAAAATTCAAGATTACAAATAAATTGTGTATAAATATAGTTTATTAAAGTTTCATGTTTGAATTCGTGTAACTAACTGCAGATAAACATAATCAAATACAAGATAGACATTTCATTTTAAATATAAAAAATCTAAAATCAAAACATTATCCCTTTCTCAGAAGCACATAAAAACCGTAATATAACATCTACACAGATGTAATAAAACGAAACATTAAAATCGAGATATATCCCGTTGCACTGAACGAGTACCTTTCTAGTCATAAATAATGAATGCAGTTTTTTTTTACAATTTTTGAGATGAATAATATGAAGAGTTTGTTTGAAGTCTTATCCGGTGGTATTCAATCATTTTTGTTTTCTCCTGAATCTTTTATCTTTTACTTGGTCTTTTCTCGTCTAAACAAAATCTGGTTTTCAGGGGCTGTTAGTAGGGCTGAACATGGGTTAAGTTGACCGGGTTGAAAACATTTAAATAACTTAACTCAATGTTTACGGTTGGAAAAATCTCAATCCAACCTAACCCAACTCAAAATTTGTGGGTTTGGTTGAGCTGGTCCGGTTAATCGGGTTGAAACTTTAGTAAATTATTTTATGATCTAGCTAAGCATTTTGTTTAAACGAAATAAATCAAAATGAGAACATATAAAAAAGACTACCGAACTCAAAAAAAATATTGAAAGTTCATGCAAATAAGAAAAGTAAAATTACAGTCGAGATTGTAATTTTAATTAATAGATAATAATCTATAACAATTATGCTTTTTTTTTTGTATTATATACTAATCAAATTTAAAACACATGTTTCTAGAAAGACAATACACCTTGTTATTTATTAAAAAAATAATATATCATTTATTTTATAATTTTACAAATTTTAACCATATGTATATAGTCCTATGATTTGTCCATATAAAAATCAGAATTGATATGCTAATTCTTGATTTTTATTTTATTTATATTTTTATAGAATATATCATTAATCCTTCTGCAACTTTCAAAATTCAGAAAATAATCAATCATTTTTTCCGGCTTTAAAACTTAAAAAGTAACTAAACAATTTCTATTTGAGTTTTTGAATATTCAAATAATAATTTCATCAGTTTTTTAGCAATCTCTAAAAGTTCAGATAATAACTCGTCATTTTTTTTTATTAAAACTTCAAATACAAATTAATTTAAATAATATTATGTTTTATTTATAAAAACAATATTGTCGTAATAAAAATATATAGAAATTTTTTTTTGAAAACATAAGCTTAGAGGTGGTTGGAGATTTTTTTTGACTTCTTGAAAATATTTATAAACATAATATTATTGAATATAATATCAGTTAAGTGATGAATTTCATTTTTATTAATATTAAAAAATTATTTTTATAATAATAATCAATAAAAAATTAATAATAAAAACATAGTTAAAGACGTATTTTTATATAAAATAATAATAATAATAATAATAATAATAATAATAATAATAATAATAATAATAATAATAATAATAATAATAATCACTTAACAATTTTAAATTAACTAGAAAGGTACTCGCACAATGTAACGAGATACATTTCATTTTAATATTTTTTTGTCTTAGTTGATGTTATAATACAATTTTATGTGTTTTTGAGAAAACGATAAATATTTTTATCTTTTAAGAAAATATGAATATGAAGATATATTATAAAAAAATAAAAAAAGTTATTGATATTAGTACCAAACTAATTATTTAAAATTTCTCATTTTTTGTGTATTTCTTTAACTTTTTTTTTTAATTTTTGGTTTAATAATATAATTTTCTATAAAAATATTTATTAAGTAGTTTGTTAGAATTCAATGATTATTCTAATTATATTTTAGATTTTTTTTGTATAAAATGAGATATTTATCTTCTATTTGATTATGTTTATCTGCAGTTAGTTACACGAATTCAAACATAAAGCTTTAATAAGTTGTACTTACGCACAATTTACTTATAATATTGAATTTTAAGTAATATGCATCAATAAATAATACGTCATGCTTAAAAAATGGTTTTTAAGAGTTTTTGCCAAATGTTTTATAATATAGTATAGATAGCGTTTCATTTTTTTCTTGTTTATTATATGTATTTTACTATTGCTATAGAAAGGAAAGGAAATTTTGTACTTTCATTTACAAGAAACCACTTTAACGTTTTATATTTTACGATTTCTAACTTTTTAGTGGCTAGTTGGAAAAACGATTATCAACTTTATCGAAATTCCAATGTTGAGGTACTTTCACTTACTATCAATTAACTAAAATGTTAACTTGACTGAGTTGTAATATTTTTAGACTTTTTGTACTGTATTTGTTGATTTCTTATTTAACTAGTTTTAATGATCTTTTATATTGAATGATTTTATCTTTGTATTTTTAAATATTTATTTAAAACAAAATAAATATATAAATTATCAATTAATTAAAATGTTAACATTMTAATTGATAAWAATAAAAAATAATTTTATAGTTATTTGAATTAATTTATAAATRRTTAGTTGGTAGGAAATACCTAAATTTAATAAAAAATATCATAAAAGACATAAATTTTAATCATCTTGATTTAAAACATAAATTTATTAAAATAATTAAAACATAAATTTAGAAGGAAAAAAAAATAAAACGAATTACTTAATTTTTTTTTAAATTTAATAGAATAATTAATATTAATCTTTTTTTTAACAAAAGCGACGGTGCAAATATCCCTATAATTATAAAGGTTTATCATTTTCACGTGATTTCATGTTTTGTGATGGTTGATTGTGTTTAGTGGGTTAAATGTTGTGATGGTTTATTGTGTTTAATGGGTTAAGGGTTGTGAGAGTAAAATATATGAGAAAAGAAATGGAAGGGAATGTGTGAAAAATTATGAAGTAGGAGGTTGGTATTTATAGTGAAATTGGTATTAGAAAAAAAATCAAAATTTTTTTTTACCCGGATAACCCCGGATCGCCCCCCGTACAGTACGGATCGCACCGGGGCGAGGTCAAACACGGTCAACGAGAGGATGAACAGTAATCTCGACTTTTTAGGATTTTTTTTTGGACTTAATGGGGGGATCGCCCCCGTAGTGTACGGATCGCCCCCGGGGGAGATCCGTGTGGTTATTTCGGCAAAAACTCTAAAATGTGGTTATTTTGTGGCAAAGGGTTGTGTAAACCGGTTATTTTTATAAATTTTCCTTTATAATAACGCGTGTTATTATATATAACTTTAAAAATTAGAGAATTAATTAAATAGTATTTTCTACTTGGCAGCACACGCCACACGGTGGTTGGTGGCGGCACATGGTGGTCATTGGCAACATACCCTAGTGGGTTGCGGTACATGGTGAGAGGTGGCGACAGACGTGGGAGGTGGCG